AAAAAAAAATTAGATACATATATGATCCTAGCCATGCAAAACTAAATATTCACAGAATAAAATCTGAAAGGACGTGTATCACACTGTATCTGGTGGTAGTCACAGGGTACTTTCTTCCTTTCACTTCTGTGAAAGAGTTCTGGTGGCACAGTGGTTAAGGCATTTGGCTGCTAACCAAGAGGTCGGTGGTTCAAACCCACCAACTGCTCCAGGGAAGAAGGATGAGGCAGTCTGCTTCCATAAAGATGTACAGCCTTGGAAACCCAGTGGGGTTGCTATGAGTCATCATCAACTTGATGGTAATGAGTTTGTTTGGCTTTGCACTTTCATAACCTGAAAGATAAAGGTGCAAAAGCTTTGGAAATCCAAGGTTAAGATGAGGAGCGCTTAAGGGAGGGAAACTGGAAAGAAAAAACCCTGACTAGCCTTCCTACAGTAGTGCATGCTTTGCCCGCATTTCCCAGGTCTTAGTTTTCCTCATCTGTGGAATGGGAGAGAAGGAGAGAGAGAGAGGGAGAGCGAGAGAGGGGGAGAGTTGATGCCCACTTCATTAGGGTGGAAAGGAATGTGAAAGTGTCTCTGAGCATCTCACAGGGGAGGGAGGAGGCTTTCCACAAGGAACAGGGATGAGAGGTGGATGGGACACCTGGGTCCCCCAGGCTCCCCCAAGCAAGCAGCCAGCCTCTAGAGGAAGATGGATGTTGGGGATCTGGGTGGGTAGGCTCCTGCTCCCCACCCTGCCCCCCAGAAGCAGGGAGGCGCCTCTGGAAGGAAGGAGGGAAGAGGACGGAGTCATCTCTGACTCAGAGGCTGGCCCTGTCCCAGGCCACCTGTCATGAAAGGGTCTCTGGACAGTCACAGCTCAGACGCTGCTGAGGGAGGGATCGAGGAATCCAACCCCAGGACTCCCCCCACCTGTCCTTCCTGTTTCCCTCCCAGAAGTCCCTCCTCACCAGCGTCTCCCAGCTCCCTCCTGAGTGCAGCCACCTGTCCCCACCCACCATATTGTCCAAGGTGGGCAGTCCCCGCTCGTCTCCTGGAAGAAGGCTGAGCCCCCTCCTCCATTCAGACCCAGGAGTCCAGTCACCAGCCCCTCGTCCCTCAGATCCAAGACACCAGTCCCACAGCCCCCTCCTCCCTCTGGACCAGTAATAAGTTTAAGGAATCTCTAGGCTTTTGAGTCATCAACCCCCACCCCCCATAAGACCCCATCAACTTCCTTTTACCTCACAAGTAACCACAAAGAAATAATGTAAGTCTGTTACCGGCAGCAAACCCTTGCAACTTGACGGCACCGGCCCGGTGCCTCCGCTCCTCCTTACGCAGCCCTGGAGGTGAGTCTGTTTGCACAATGACTTGAGATCATCCTCGGGTGAATTTTTATTTTATTTTTTTAATTTTTTATTGTGCTTTGGTGCAAATTAACGAAGCAGATTTGGTTTACATTCAACCGTTCATGAATGTTCGATTTCACGATTACCATCCCTGACCATAGACACTCTCCTCCCCTCTCCGCCCTGGGACCCCCTCCCCATGCCCTTCTTATCTATGCATTGCTGTCTGTCCAGCTGTCCCTCTGTGTGAATGCTGCCCCTCTGATGTCTCATGGCTGGTTGATCTAAGGGGTGCATCTCCCTGGGGTAGATGTTCTGCATGGAGGTCTTTCTACTGCTGGGACTCAGTTCAATTTTTTAAATAGCTTTTTGTTTTGCTTTGGGCAGACAGCGTAGCACAGCAATTTTAAGCACTGACTCTCGAGTCAGGCTTCTTGGATTCAACTCGCAGTTGCGGCATCTACAAACTACGTGTCTTTGAGCAAATCACTTCCTCCATCTTACTCCTTCATCCTTGAAATAAAACACCTTCTCCATAGAGATGCTGTGTAGACGGAGTCACTGCTTGGCACAGAATACACCTCCTACAGACATTTTTGCTTATTTGTTATTGTTTATGACTCTGGTATGTTTTCTGCTACTTCTTCTTGTTGTTAGAAGCTGTCAGGTCAATTCTGACTCCTGGCAACCCCCTGTTTGTAGAGTAATACTGCTTCATAGGGTTTCCAAGGCTGTGACCACTCAAAAGCTGGTCCCTAGGCTGTCTTCTAGGAGCTTTGGTAGCATAGTGCCTAAGGCACTTGACTGCTAACCAGAAGGCTGGCGGTTCAAACCCACCAGCCACTCCTCGGAAGGTTGGGCATTCCTACTTCCGTAGTGATACTGCCTCGGAAACCCAAGGAGAGGTCGCTATGAGTCGGGGCCAACTCGATGGCAAATAACACCACCACCTACTAAATAATAATTACCATGTTTGTTTCCTTTTTTACCATGAGACTCTCCTCTTTACCAGAAAAACACCGTAAGAACAGGCACTGCCTGATTCATTCACCGCATTTAGCTCAAGGCCCGCTGTACGCTAAATGTTCGATACATATTTCCAGTTCCGGATTCCTTGGTGAGTTTGGACAAGCCCCTCCCGCTCCCTGCGCCTCAGTCTCCCAAGCCTGTCACCGGAAGCCCCTCCCGCGGTGCCGCCTCCAACGGGGCCGGGTCCTAGCGGCCTCACCTGTAAACGTCGGCCACGCGGCCCAGGCAAACGGCCAACGGCTTAGCCTCGCTGCGGCCTTTGAGGCGGTACACATCTTCCAGGGCCGCCGAGCAATTTGCTGAGCAGGCTAGGCCGTACAGTGTGTCGGTAGGGACCGCCACCACGGCGCCGGCGCGCAGTTCGGCCACGGCGGCCCGCAGCGCCTCCGCCCAACCGGCGTGCTCGGGACTCGCAGCCCGCAAGGCCCCACTCCCTGGGAGCCGCAAGAGCCGGGCCCCCAGCGCCACCGGAGAGGTGCTAGGCGGGCGAAGGAGGCGGCCGCTCCGGGCACAGCCCGCCGGCCCCTCACTCAAACCGAAACCGGTAGCCACGGCGGCCCTCAATCCCCTACAAGGACGCGCTGGAGACATCCGCCGAGGCCTGCTTCCGGGAGGAAGTGACGCACATACCCACCTTCCGGTCCAGGCACCTCGGCCCCGCCTCCGAGCCGGGCACCTTAAAGGGACCGCCACCCCCAGGAGAATTGAAGGAGACCGGTGGGGACGGGGCGGGGCGCAGCTTTGCAGCGTCCTAGCGCAGCGCTGGGGAGGGGGGCGGCCGAAAGGGGGGCGGTGGTCTGGCCGCGCAGGCGAGATGGAATGGGGCCCGGGCTCAGACTGGCCACGGGGGTGAGAGGGGACCCGTCGGGGCGGGGGGAAGGGGTTCAGACCCCGCGCAAGCGCGGGCCCTGACTGTCTCTACCTCTCTCCGGGGCAGGGAGGCTGCCGGCGTGGACCGCGGGAAGGCGGGGCTGGGGCTCGGCGGGAGGCCACCCCCCCAGCCGCCCCGGGATGAGCGCGCCCAGCAGCTGCTGGACGCGGTGGAGCAGCGGCAGCGACAGCTCCTGGACACCATCGCCGCCTGTGAGGAGATGCTGCGGCAGCTGGGCCGCCGGCGCCCGGAGCCGGCTAGTGGCGGGGTCAGTGCCCACCCCGGGCTGGGCCTAGGGGGTGGGATCTGCTGACTGGCTGGGCTTGCTAAATCGTAGGTCTCCCCTGAGGGTGGAAGAGTGTCTCCTCTGCCCTACCTCTAACCTCCTTTTATCTGGACAAGAGGCTTTGAAAAAATTAAGTGCTATCCAAATGCACAGTAGCCATACCCTTGCAGGGCCTACAAGGCCTTTCCTTTCAGCCTCACTTTGTTTCTATTCCAAGCAGAACGTCTCAGCAAAACCTGGCGCTCCCCCCCAGCCAGCTGTCTCCGCCAGAGGTGGCTATCCAAAGGATGCTGGTGATGGAGCTGCGGAGCCCTGACCATCCCAGAGCTGGGCACCCTGACTTCTCTCCCTCCCCGGGGCTGGTGGCTGGACTTTGAACAACTCGCTTCAATAAAGGGGCCAGTCTTCACTGGTGGTGGCTGTTACTTGGCTCTCAGCCTGGGGTGGCAGCTCTGCTAGCAGCTGGGTTGACTCTCACTTCATCCTGGCTGAAGGCAGTGCTGTGCTTTGAAATGTAGCCAACAAATACCCAGTCTGATTACCTGAATTTGGGCAGACCAGCAACCAGCAGTGCTCGTCAGCATGATCTGGTCTGCTTTGGGGGTCTAGGTGGTGTTACATGTCCATTTCATGCTTTGGGGGCTCCTAGCCCCAGGAAACACCTTCAGCAGAGCCTTGATTAAAAGGAAACCTGAAGACTCTCTTGGTGACTGACCTCTTTCCTTTCTGTCCCCTCTCCAAGATTCTTGGCTGGGGAGGGGAAAATGGTTGAAAACTGTCAACCTTGGGCAGGGCTGGGAAGAAATGCCACAGATACTACCAGATTTAAATAAGCATTTAATTAGGATTTCATTAGTATTTAATATTGCTTTTTCAATTCCAAAAAGTTAAAATTTCACTTCTTAGCAGATATTTTAAAGTACAATATTAAGTTCATACAAAATGAGCAATTAAGCAAACACCATTATTTCACATTCTTCAAAAATACAAATTCATATTTACTCTTTTTGGGTTTGGAGGTTTCTTCCTTTGGAAGTACTGAACCTGTAACGTTTTCATATCGCTCAGTGGAAGTCCGTTGTTCCCATGTTTCACACTTAAATAAATTTGATAGACTATTACATAATCCAAATAAAACTATCTGGGATTTAAAAAAATTGTTACCTAGACCATCGGCCAAAGACTAGTGTTGTGTCAAAGAAGGCTCTCAGGGGCTCTTGCCTTTCCTGGCTAGAAGGTCTGGCCAGAGATTCAGCAAAGATCTGTTTCCAAGTATCTTCCCCAAACAAGGATGAGGAAGAGCTCACAGGCAAAGGGAACAGCCACTGGGACCCCTGACCCCCACCCCCCACATTCTCAAATACAACAAAGGATGTAGACTGTGGAGTCAAACAAAACCCTTGGGAGGGAGGCCTGAGGACACAGAAGAAGAAGGGGCAGGAGAAGCCTCTGGCTTGGCACCACTACAAGGATACTGCAAAAAACACCCTGGGTTCTGGTGAAAAAAGGTTTTATGAAAATTTTTCCCATAAGAAAAGTAGAAACTGCATTGAGCTGAGAAAGTGACAGTACATCATCACCCAATTTTTGGCCCAGCAGGCACACCACCAAAAGGGCAGTGTGTTGTTTTAAACCACGCTTCCAGTAAAAAAAGCTTGTACTATGTACACATTGACATAAAGATCCAGTTTGATTTGCATTTTTCAGTGCAGACTGAGAAGCCCTCTCTTGAACAGGAGAAACAGAAATGCCCAGACTGATCATCAGCTTCCCCAACGGACACGAGAAGAAAAACAGGACCCTTTCCTTTTCCCCCCTCCCCCAAAAATACACAAGAGGAAACGCGCTATACTGACCGACCAATCAGAAATATGCATGATTCAGTTTTGCTGCCTCCCCCCTCCACTGATTAAAAATGGAAAATTTCCTATCTATATTACAACAGAATTATTTGCATAATATTGGATCTATGGAAATCTTTCTACTTTGGCTAAAGTGTATTTTAAAATTTCTGTATATTAGCCTGAGAATAGAAGATAAAGTGGGGGAGGTGAGAGAAAGGAAGAAAGTTGATAGATTACTAACAGCCTTGTTTACTGGATTTAATGAAGGTTAATAGGCTTTTTTCTTAAAGCGCCAACAGGCAGTATGGGAGCAGTATGGAAATGATTCATGTTACCCAACCCCCGCCCCCAATCTTCCCAAGCTTATTTCTGATTGGTGGTATAGAAAAATTGTAAACTCTTCATCAATATTGTTGCAGTTGCACAAATCAATGGTTTCATACTCTGGAGATGTCTATAAGGACAATGGACAAGATTACAAATAGAAAAGCCTAGAAGGTACCAGGTTTCTGCCTAGGAACAACCTGTTCCTTCTTTTAGGTATCACTTGGTTACGGTGAAGAGGGGAATGATGGCAAGGGACCAAGAAGTGATGAAAAGGGCCTCAACAGTCAGCAGAAGAAAACAGGACCCACAATAGTTCTTCAGAGAGCCTGAGGGGGCGCCCTCAGGGCACAGGGGGAAGGCTTGCATAGATTGAGCAGTTGCAGAAAATGCATAATAGTGTTTCCCTATAGACAGCCTCATAGTACAGGGCTGATCAAGCATTAAAACGGTGGCCAGGCCACGGCCACATGGGACAACGACTGTCAAGCTACACATATTGCACCAAGATAAGTGCTTTTCTTTTCACACCTCAATTTAACTTTTTATTCTGAGCAAAAAATAAAACTTTGTGGAAAGTGTATACATATACATATACATATACATATATATATACACACACAAAAAAAAAGAAATGCAGCAATTGGGTTAAAGATAAAATAACCTAAAGTGCTTTTTTATTTTTATTATTTCTTTAATATACGAACATGAGGTTCTGCAAACTCGTCCCTCTGGACACATTCAGCATTATATGAAGTCTCTCAGGAAAACCCAACCCTATCTATTATTCCCATCAGTCCGCTGCCTTGACCCTGAAAACAAAACTCTCTATCCTACCAACTCTCTCAGGGTGGTAAAGAAGTCCCTTGCCTTGTACCCAGAGAGGTCTTCACACCTTAAGGTCCTTCCTGGGCTTTGTACCATGATCTTCTAAAGAGGTGGAATTCAATAAATGACCCCAACTCCTGTCACCAAACTAGTGATGCCCCCATGAGACTGGGTGTGAGGAAGCCAGGCCCTGACAGGAAAGGCCAGGTCACCTTCCCTTAATGCCCTATTCACTGCCTGGGAAGGGCAATATACTAAGGCAGCTTGGTGGTGCCAGCCAAAGTTTCCTTACCACTCTTCCTAAGCCCATGAACTCCCAACACTTTAAAGGGTAACTGTTAACTAGTACCCTTTAAAGAGGCAGTCTAACTGGAGATGTTAGTGGGAGCTGGAAATAGAAATCTACAGGGTAAGAGTGGTTAAAGTTACCATGGACAGAAAAGGTGGCTTGATTTCACCTGCTAGAAATCTGAGGGCCCCCACTGCACGCTAGGTTCATTCCCAGATTCAGGAAACCGCATTCGCCAGGAAAGCTCTTTACTGGCTTCAGCTTAGCCAGCGGTGCTCTCTTCTCCAAGGTCCTTGGCACTAGAGGCCAGGCTTCCAGAAGGTGAGGGAGTAGGGAAAGAATGAAGGAAGAGGACAGAAAGAAAGGCTGCCTACCCTGTGGAAAAGCCTGTTCCCCACAACCACTGACTACCGGAGTAAGCACATTCCTGATTTTCAAAAGCTGATTGGATCTGACAGTCCCCTTTCTAATCTAGAGTCACCCTCAAAAGCCAGACACTTCGACTTCTTTAACTAGAAAAACACTGTTTCAAGATGCTTCTTCATCACCCTCTATCTTTGGAGAGCGAAAAAGCCACTGACCTGGGTAGGGTTCAGCATGAGCACAGTCCTGGCAAACTAGAATAAGAAGCAATATTTAAACCACAGGCAGCTTCAAATGGCCTTCTCTGGGCTCCTAACACCCATCTCAGCTCTCAGGGAACCAGAACCCCAGGTGACCATACGGTTGTTAGGTGGGGAGGTCACTACTGCCCTGCTACAAGTTGACTTGGGGATCCTATCCCCACTGCTCCCTCTCAGCAAGGGCCCTACCTCAATCCCTGGTCAGCAATTGCTTTTTCAGAAAGATCAACCCACTGCAGTAATATAAGATTTCTCCTGCTTTCTCAACTTCTGCTGAGGTCACCAGAACCCACCAGCTTTTTGGAGAGGGGAAGGCAGATGGTCAAAAAGAAATCAATTCTCCTGACGAGACCACTGAGTGAGAAAATGGATGCCTATAGTTAAGCCCATTTCTCCTCAGGACATAACAACATTTACCACTACAGCCCTCTTTTCCAAGTCCATCCCTGAATATCCTGGCTAAAGGCAGGGCCTCAGGCTCCAAGGAAAATGATCTGCTCTGAAGACTGCCTTGGCATCCCTGAGTAATGGCTCAGAGGATTAAGAGAGTGACAATGCAGATGTCTTTACATTATTAGGGAGGGAAAAGGAAGGCAATGTGATGGATGCTTTCTGCTTGACTCACTGACTCCAAAGAGCAGTTGTTTGTGGAACCCTGTCTTCTGCTCAAGGCAAGGAAAAGGCTCCAGGGAGGCAGAGTCCTGTTCCAGACCACAGGCCATCCCTAGCCTCTGAGCCCGGGGGGCCATTGGGGTTCTTTGTTGAAACACTCATGACTATGTTAATATAGCCACTTGAAGGAGGCCTTCCATTCTAGTGTGGAGTGCATTTTATATTTTATTTTAAGAGGCAATAACTTGGAGCCAAATGCAGACAGATGGAGGTAATTCTATACACAAATCAAAAAAAAAAAAAACATTTTTCTCCCTATAATACAAGTTAATGAAACATTCCAAATGAGATAACTTATTGCAACATTTCAGGCTTTTTGGTGCAAGGGGAATTTTTTGTTTTGTTTTACCCTGAGTAGAAGATCATCGTTTTATGGGTTTTTTCTTTGTTTTTGTTTAGAAATCTTATGACCAAGCTGAGTAGTCACACCCTTGTTTGTACTGTACTAGGCTATATGCAAAATCCAGACAGGTAAGGGGTGGAGATGGGCGTGGCAACCAAAAACCTGGACAGAACCTGGAACCTGCCAATTACATGCCACCTTTTAGAAACTCCCTTAAATCTGCACCTTCTCCTGGTCAACCAAATGCAGTCCTTCTACTCTGAGGAAGCGAATACAGTTCAAGGGAAGGCAGACCATTCACTGACTGGTCCTGGCCGTAAGCCACATGTCCACTCTAGAAATAAACAGGGATGTTTGCCAAAGAAAATTCCCTGTGATCTGCAAGCCCTGGCAACTGAGAGAGAAAAAGAACCAGGGAGGCAAAGATTGTGATCATGTTGCTCTGCACACACGTCATCAGCAGATAGCAGTCACTAACTTGCCTAGGGCCCCTGTAGAACCAGATCATCTCCACACACCATGGGCCAGGTTCTCAGCTGCCCACTGGGCTGAAGCTGGCTACACGATGAGTCCCACACTATCCACCCTGAAGTCCACTCCAAGCGCAAACCACAAAGCCATCTCAGCCAACTCCTGTCCAACTCACAGCTGTCTGGCCTGCCTCTGCCACCTCCCTCTCTGACAGGAGCCAGGGTCTGGCCTTCTGAGCAAGTGTCAGCCTCAAATTCCAAAGACACACAGGGAGGAGCAACACCCAGCACACTGAACTCTACTGCCCAG